ATATATACATATATTAGAAACTAGCATTTAGAAAGTACTTAGAAGTTATACATTGTAACAAAAAGATAGAAATAATAAAAAAATATGATAAAAACTTAACGAAAAATTGTCGGGTTTCATTATAGCGACGTGGTGAACAGCAAAAACTATAGGAGGTGATTGAAACTTGTAATGATATCACTTCTATGAATACTTTTTTTGCTTGATTTTGCCAATCTTTTTGCTATCTTGCCTCTCGAGCATTTATTATCAGCAATTTTATAATCTAGTTCAATTTGCCTCTGCATAAATTAAATATTGTATTGATAAATTTCTAACTCTTTTAAAATTTTGTCTGTATGACAACTACATTAATAGTTACTGTTTTTCACTCCTACAAATTACGGTATTTCCATGGGACACAATTTTAGTTCAGCTATGGTTGGCTTATTTTTAATTTACTGTGAGAAACACCTACATAATGAGATAAATCACAGCTTTTTATGTTGAAAATGAGGACATTTTCTGCATTAACTTTCCTGAGGTTACATCATTCAATTTAATCATTTAATCATTCAATTTATCCAAATTTTTCAAATCTTGTTAAAACTAGAGATGATGATATTGCTAAACCTTTTAGACTTACGTGTAGTATTGGGCCAGGAGCCCACTATCTCTGTATACTTTAAACGTAAAGACTTCAAGTTTGAGATACTCAGTCTACAAAAATATTTCACTTGCATTAGTTTCAAGATGCTCAGAGGTATGATTATTTCTCAAATTATCAGATTTAAAAGAATCCGTAGCAACAAAACTAACTTTACCTTGGAAGTGGAAGATTTCAAAGCTATAACTTTCCAATTAATTTTGTCAATCACCTTTTTGCACAATTTAAAATTTAAATCAAAATTTTATTAAATTGCTGCTATAACGCTGGATATATATTCTTGCTTTTTTTCTTTCTCAAACTTGAGCTAGTAAATTGGAAAGAGTATTAATTAAAAGAGTATATTATTAAATTGAAAAGAGTTTAAAGCCATTCCTTGAATTTACTAAGAACCCACAAATGTATGGGAATAAACGGCAGCCAAAAAAGATTAATACAGATACCATAAGTTGAGCTATCCGATGCGTTTAGAACTCTTCAAAGAATTATTTAGACCCATTTTTTTTCTGTTAGCTCTTATTTTTTTTATCTTTTTCTTTGTTTTTTTCATACATTTTACAAGTTTATATTGGAATAAGGGATTTAAGTCTGTTATTTCTGCAAATATTGGCGTTTATAATCGTGCACGCAGGGAAATTTCATAATTTATTTGTTCTAAATGAAACTTCCAAGTAGCATTGCAGTGTTAATAAAGCAAATTGTAATGTATCTTAATTAAATTAACTGTTTATAAATTAAAAGTTCAATCAGATGCATGCATTGCATAATTTTAGAACTTAATCTAAAAGAAGAGTATAGTTCGTTCACCAGAAGTTGAGACTTGGCTCCACCGCAGAGTTCATTTCAGCGCAGGAGTTAGAAGAGAAACATCTCCGTTGTTGAAATTGAGACAACCCTTAATTTGCGCCAAACGCAAAAAGTGAATTCTTTTTCAGTCACTTACTTTGCTTTATCATCTACTATTAAACCTTTTGTTACACTTGCTAATTAAATATAGTTTAAATTTAAAAACTGCTGTTCTCCCAGCGAAATGTCATAAAGGACAAACAATTCACTCAAAAGAAAGAAATATCATAAAAAATGGTGCAAATATCATCAAATTTATGAAATATTTATTGTTAAAAAAATGCACACGAAGTTTGCGAAATAAATATTTTTGCCAAATGATCGCCAAATAGCAACATTGTTCAGAATTGCTCACAACCTTCTCCCAAAAATAGCGAAATAGTATCGTCGTATACCACGTGATGAAGTCGGAGCCAAGTGCCAACTCCTGGTGAACGAGCTATACCAGTATATATATGAAGCTGGACTAAAATATACAAGTATCCAATAACCATCAAAGAAAGATCTCATATTGCAATTCAGTCTGAAAGGAACAACGAACGCAGTTTTGGGGGTTATTGAGGGTAGCGAGAAGGGAATGATATCCACTAGCTTAATATTTATTTAAAAAATAATGATTCATTTTTAAAATTTTTTGATCGGAAAAATACTTTTAAGTTACTTTGTTTACAAACTGTTAGCAATTTTTTTTAAAAATATTGCTAGCATTAAAAAAATAAACAGAGAAAAATCCATATTTTATTAAGCACATATTAAAGATACTTAAATTTTTTTCTTAAGAAGTATTTAAATTTAGATAAGAGATTTACTATAGTTTAGAAAAATAATGAGATTAAATTAACATCGAGTAATTTTTTTTAAAGAAAAAAATGCTTTTTTTACTTCACATTAAAATATAAAAAAATTAGAAATAAAGAGTAATCATTAAAACTGCTTCAACATTATTCAGTCAAAATCACGCTGTTTTCTCATTAAAAATGCGAAGGTGATTGCAGCTTTCTTTTATGTTTCGCTGGGACAAAGTTTCCGCTTTCAACAATAGATGGAGGCACTATCGATTTTTGCGTGAAGGTTCCCAGGAAGCCTCACCGTGGATATTGTCAGTAGCCCAGTGGTGAAAAACAACTTACGGCTGCAAAACTGGACAAGCGCGGCTGGGGAAACATTATACAGGAAAAGCGTATTTACAGTTTAAGTGCAAAATGTGAGAATTGTCTGCCGAGTAGGTTTTGATTTGTTCTTGTGTGTGAGTTCTAGGAACTGTTTATAACCAGACGATTTTTCTCGAAGGAACACCGCAACTCGCATGTGGGACCTTATGTAACAAAGATCGAATGTTTGTGGAGCAAGCTCCGTCCTTAGGGTCCGGTGCAAAACTTTTCTCCAGCGCAGAATACAGGAGTGTGTGGTGCATTTTGGAGAATTAGCTAATCAAATTCTGAATATTTTGCAAGTGATTTGGTTTCTGAAGGACGAAGTGAGTGTCCAAAATTCTTTCATACTCTGATTTTCATATGGATTATTTAAAGGATTTTTTAATGCAGAAAAAAATGGAATAGTTAGTTATTCTAATAAGTAAACATGTAATAGTAAAAATGGAGGTTTAACTATATAAAAATATCTTTTCATGATTTGATTCGGATTTCCACAAATACTATTGACAGGATTTTTCGCTGCAAAAAAACGGAGCCATACTTATTCTAGCGTGTTAACATATAAGGTATTATAACTGTATTAAAATTATTTAAAATTTTTTATTTTTTGTTAATTCAAATAGATTATTTAAAATATTTCTCGTTGCAAAAAAAGTTTCTATTTATTTAAGCACATGATATTGTCACTATATAAAAATAGTAGTGTATTTAGAGCATATAAAACGTTTTTAAACAATTCACTTTTAATTTGTTTTTATTCTGATTTTCATGCGCATCATTTAAAGATTTTCAGCTGCAAATGAAAAAACTGAATTTTTTATTTGTTCTAACGTGCAAACAAATAGGATCTTATAACTAATAACCATATAAAAACAACAAGGCATTACAACCATATAAAATATTTATGAATAATTAGTTTTTTTTAATTATTAGTATTCCAGTTTTCCTATAGATTATTAAAAGGATTTTTTGAAACAAAAAACAGAATTGCATTTGTTTTAGCATGAAAACATGCATCAGTAATAGGTTAGTATAATTATAAAAATTTTACATAATTTAGTTTCGCTTTTTTAAAATTCTGATTTTCATATAGATTATTAAAAAGATTTTCCNCAAAATATGTAGTAGGAAGACAGGGAAGTAATCTATACAAAAATTCGAAATATTTTTTTCTTTGTTTAATATTTTTGAGATTCTACTGTAAATATTAGATTTTAAAAATTTATGCAATTCATCTGAATATTAAATATTCGTATCCTGCAACGTTTCCTAAATGAAACATAGAACTCATAAATGAAAACAATAAACTAAAATAGAAGCGGATTTTGAGGTATCGAAAAACTATAGGAAGATTTAATTTTTTTAGAAATTTCTTTTCTTCCTGGGTATCAAAATTATTGAAGTATATTAAACTGTATCCGGATCAAAAATTGACTTGTTTCACCAAAAATAAACTTCATTTTGCAACTTGGGAAATGTCAAGTCTATAGTAAATGATGATTTACACTAATAATGTAATTTAAAAGAAATAAAAACAATTGTCAAAAATAAATAAATAAAATAGTTTTAAGTAGAGATTGGTCAGCCTGATCACCCTGCGAAGGGATCGAGGGTGCACGGTTTCTGTTTAATTTTTTCTCCTTTTACTTATTAGTTATATCAAGAAGCATTCGTATTAACGGTTGGCATTGCGACGCACTATTCATAAATTTTTTTAAAGAATATTGTTTATATTCCTTTATAATAAATAAAAGCTATATATAAGAAATGAAAACTACTGAAATTGAACTTTCTCTACAACTTTGAAAAAAACGAAAGATTTTATATATATATACATATATAGATATTTCGCGCTGCCGTGCCACAGGTCCTTGGTTCGATCCTTGGGCCGGGCAAGGCCGACTCAGCCTTTCATCCCTTCAGTGGGTCGATAAAATGAGTACCAAGCATGCTTGGGAACTAACACTGGGGGTTCCGCGTTCGGCTGACCACCTGACCGGAACATATGCTCTTGCACCCCAGAGCCCAAGGTCAAGAAAACTGAGATGGGCACAGTCGGCCTTGGCCCTCTTAATGGGCTGTCGCGCCACTGAGTTAGTTAGTTTTATATATAGATATTATTATAAAGGAGGAGACATTAAAACGTCTTTAATAGAAGAAGAATGAAAATTTTAAGTAAAACAAATAAATTTAAAAAAAGAATTAAATTTTTTTAAAAAAATAAAATAAATTTACCTCGAAAAAGTACAGATTCACACAAAACTTAATTTTTTTTTAAAATTAATTTAAATTTTTTAGCTCTTCCTAAAAAAAATAATTATTCCTCTCTCATTAAAAATTGATTATTATTTTTTATTTCATTCCTTTTTCCTTTTTGTTTTCTGTTTTTTTTCTTGTTTTCTTAGTGCGATTATCGTGTATCAAGGGTTCTGTGTAGTTACAGCTCAGAAGCAGTTATTTATAACTTTTTAAGAAAATTAATTTTTACTTTTACTGTTTTCTTTTAATTTTAATAATTTATATATATACGCATAGAGAGGTAGATTGCAAATGAATTAAAGAACTGTTAATCACTCATTGTTTTCTATGTGCGTATAAATTTACTATTTTTAATATGCTTCACCAGATTTTGTGTCCTTGAGCTTCCGAGATAACAATACTTTATGATTTTCTCAAGGTTTTGAAATGATGTAAGTTCATTAAATTATTACGAAGATTGATAATTGTTCTACACATTACGTAACAATTCCATGAAAGAAATATATTTTAAATGTTCGCATAATGAAGAACAAAACATCTTTATAACGTTTAATGGAGTGATTGGACTATCACGTACTAAGATGCAATCTTAATAGCTCGTGGTTCTAGTTTTAAATATGCTAATTAATTTACATTGGCGATATTTTGAGTTAACAAAGCAGACACAAAAGCATTAGTTTTATAAATGAATATGACTTTTTCTCGTCGGATTCAGATTCTTGTCTCCATCATTATATCAGAACATTAGTGTATCTCACAATCATTTTAGTGATATACTGTACTTTAACTATATTAATACAATATCTGAAAGCTCTAGTTTTTGCAGACATAATCGTACGAGTTGATGAATAGATAATTGCTTTTTGTTATTAATTCACACTTGTTAATTTTTTTCAAAATTCTGAAATTTTTTTTCCCTTCATTAAAATTTTTTTTAAATGACATTTCTTTTCACTTTTTTGTTTATTGTATTCTTTTTTTGTGTTATTATTTTATATTATGTGTTCTTTGTAATTGCAACTTTTGCGCACAGGGAATTTTACCAAAAGAGTCGGTAATTTTAATAGTACTAATATAATTTGTCTTGCCACAGGAAAATAAAAAGATAATTGTGCCATTTTTGTAGAAAATTCTTAGTCACATTCAATATAGAAGGTATCATTAAGGCCTATTTAAACGAAACCGCTCTTATTTAGTGTTTTCTCAACATTATTATTAATCATATTTTAGAAGTGGACAATGCGTGGATTCTAAAAATTTTGTAGATTAAAATGATAAAAATGTTGCAAATTTTACTAATTTATCTCCCCAATAAGAAATTATGAGTTTAAATTTTTTTTCACAAGTTTACCTCTTAATGAAATTAAAGATTAACGCCCTAATGAGGAATTTATCATGCAATACTAATATGTTTTCAAACACCTAATAGATATAGGTATTGAATTCTGAGAAAGCCTTCTTAATTTCTGTATTTCGAAGAACTTTATATTTAACAGAGAATCTTACCTTAAACAAATTTAAGGCCTGCCTCAGGACAGCAATTTTAAATCCATATTTTTCTATTCCTTAAAATGAAAAATATTTTCTATTTTAGTTAAATTTTCATTCATAATTATTGATGATATTATTACTTTCAACTTTATTGGAATTTTTACATACATTGATGCGATTTGTACTTAAGAACTTGTGCTAGAAAAAACTAATAATTTTCTTTCGCGTGCATGTTTTTGAGACCATGACATTTTTATTAAAAATAATGATGAAAATTCAGTTTCGTTTACTGTACTCGATACTGTATTTGAATTCACTTTTCAAAACTATTATATAGCTCTAGTGCGACGTAAGATATAGCTACTACTGTGGCGATTAGGTAGCAGATTCGAATCTCGCAATAACACTGAATAGAATTTTGTGATGTCCTTCTCTAACTTATACTATTTGTTTTCACTTAACAAAGAACTTAGATTTATAAACCGTACTCATGAGCTAGCATATGTGAGTTTAACAATAAATAAATAAAAATCTACAACGCTAAATGCTTTCTAATTTAGTGCTTACAAATATGAATGTGACAAATAAGTCCATGAACTTAGAGTTTTTATCTTGAGCAAGAATATTGAGATGCGATTGCTTTTATTACACATTGCTTTCTGTGTTGAATGTGATTATGAGTTTTCTACAAAGACAGATAGGTACTTCATTAACGTTGCGCTACAACTGCCCCATGGGCTATTGGCGACCGCCTGGGAAAAATTTTTGAGGATGATCCGAAGATATGCCATCCCAATTTTGATCCTCCTCAGAACGGTTGGCTTCTATGTTTTCGTTGCCCAATGACCTGTGCGCGAAGTCGAGCACTTTACGGTAGAACATTTTAACGAGTACAAATACCGCAGATCCTCAGTTCTTTCGTAGGCAGATCAAAGTGGTAACCGTTCAATGATCGCAGTCAATGAGGCGCAAACTGGGAACCGAGTTTTTACGATCAGTTCACAGCAGGACTTTCTACATAGACAGAAAGAAAATTATTTTCATTTAATTTTATTGTATCGGGTATAATATGGTTGATGGCAATTTAAAATTTGGATCTCTGTCAGTCGAAAACTTGATTTTTTTTCGACTGTCGAAGGTTCCGGCACTCGGTAATGCATGGGGGACTATTGAAAATTTGGCTGTTCATATTACTCTTCGGTTATTAAAACTTTTTTTGTTTATGTGTTTTTGTGGTTTGGCCTTTGTTATTTGTTGCCTTGCGGTATTGAAAATGTTAATTTAGAGAAATAAGCAAACTAAATCGCGTATCAATATTTTTAAAATAAAATGTTAAAATACATCAAGTTTCATGTAATTTTTTGTAAAATATTCATTTTATGCGATTGAGGACCAATTGTTATTGTTTCAAAATTCTAAAATAATATTTTAAAATTATTCATGAACTTGTAACTAAATTTTTGAAAAGCAAAAATCAATATCACCAATGAACAAAATTATAAAGAATTAATGTTTTTAAAATGCAGCCGAAATGGTTTAAATAATAATAATAATGGTAAATTTAAAATAAAAA